GCAAACGTCTTAACTTATAATCTGGGGGCAATAATGTGTTGCTAGATACCGCTTATTGCTTATAGTATTGGTGCAGAGCCAATACTGTGGCCAGCTTTATAAGTGCCTATACGGGTCACACACTTTGAACAATTTAAGGAGTAGGATTAAACAATGGGATAATAAGTAATTTGTATATTTGTAAAATAGTAAAATAAAATATTTTGGAATATAATATTATATATGTAAAACATTCGGTGATATATTTATATATATAAATACCGAAATATATATATATATTATATGTTGAATATTTTATTTTGGTTTGTCATTTTAATTATGAAAATAATTATTTTGACATAAACTATTTAAAGTATATTTGTATACTTGTTTAAAAATTATACGGGTATTTTATTTGATTTAAAATTAATTTTTATATTAATTTTTGGTGTCAAATAAAATACACTTTGAACATTTAAGTGGAGAAGAATTTTACAAATCCTTCTCACATGATTTTTCGGCCATGATATCTTTTAAAGGAACAAAAATTTCCTTGATTGATAATTGTGTGAAGCTAACTATTTTGTCATTTTGTTAATGACAAAGTCAAATTAATAATCACTTTTTCTCCTTAAATATACTACACACCATTCCACTTATTTTGTGTAGTGTGTCATTCGACTATATCCTTTTAGAGAGAAGAAATATTAGTTTGGTTCCATTAATATCATTTTGTGTATAGAAAATATTTATAATATTTTCTAAATATTATTAGAAATATTTTCTATAGAAATATTCAAGATTATTATTATCCCAATTTTAATCTTTATATTTTATACTACTATAATCTTTACTAGCATAAAGATTGTGGTAGACTCCGGCGTTGTTCGTGTGTCAGAGTTGGAGACCGGACGCTTGAACGGTTATATTTGCACTTTCAACGCTCTTTCTACGACTTTTTCGTTTTTACCGCTTACGGAGAAAGGTATAAATTTCTTACTCACTATAAGTTTTAGTACGTGATTCTGGGCAAGATAATCATGTTAGGATGTTAAAATTTTTAATTTCCGCTGCCTATTCTTGCATGGTTACCTTTCACTGGTATCGGAGCCAACGTACAAAACTATAGTTTTACGTTTGACTTTTAAAATTTTAAAAGTCAAAGTTTTAACATGGTAAATATTAAAATTCAAAATTGGTAAAATGATTTTATTTAGTCTTGGAATAAGTATTGGACTTAAATAGATCATTGAAAATGAATTTTAAATTTATTTATTTTATTTCTACTCGTAATATATATATAAATATATATTACGGCTAACCAGAGACCTACCTCTGGTTCGTCTTGTTGGTAGATCAAGGCGAACCAGAGACCTACCTCGAGGCAATTACATGCCCCGAATCCAATCTATGGCTCGAAGCCATGAAATCTGAAATGGAGTCTATGTACACAAACCAAGTCTGGACCTTGGTTGATGCGCCCGAAGGGGTAAAACCCATTGGATGCAAGTGGGTCTTCAAAAAGAAGACAGACGTAGACGGGAAGGTTCATACCTTCAAAGCTAGATTGGTAGCAAAAGGTTATAGACAAATCCACGGAATTGACTATGATGAAACCTTTTCTCCAGTTGTTATGCTGAAATCCATTCAGATAATGCTTGCGATTGCAGCCTATTACGATTATGAAATTCGGCAGATGGACGTCAAGACGGCTTTCCTTAATGGGAACCTCAAAGAGGATGTTTTTATGGCACAGCCTGACGGTTTTCAAATTGCTGGTCAGTCTGCCAAAGTTTGTAAGCTGCAACGTTCAATCTACGGATTGAAACAAGCATCTCGGAGTTGGTACATACGTTTCGATGAAACCATTTCCAGTTTTGGTTTCAAGAAGAACTCTGACGAATCTTGTGTATACAAGAAGGTCAGTGGGAGTGTAATAGTATTCCTAATATTATATGTCGATGACATATTGTTAATGGGTAATGATATTCCCGCTCTCACTTCTGTAAAGACGTGGTTGAGCGAGAACTTCTCCATGAAAGACTTAGGGGATGCTAGTTATGTCCTTGGCATAAGAATCTACCGAGATAGATCAAGAAAGTTAATAGGTCT